TGGTGGAGGTGACAATGACCCAGATGTCTCCCACTGCAAGATGGTGGAAGCAGATAGAGCAAAGAGAGAGACAGATTCTCCTCTTCTTTTAAAGCCCTCAGAACCATGTCCCTGACCACCATTTTTAATCCATTCACTACTGCACAGTCCTACAATCCAATCACCCCTTCAGGGCTCCACCTTTCAATTATCATAATAGGATTTCCTACCCTCTTAACAGTCACAGTGGGGGCTAAGTTTCTAATACATAAAAGTTGGGGGACACAATTCAAGTTTCAGGGAGTTTTGGGGGGACATAATTCAATCCACTACAAGTACCCTCTATGCACTTTACACACGTTATTGTATTTTAAATCTTAACAACTTTATGAAGTGTGAGCATCATTATTCCTGTTGTACAAAAGAGGAATTTGAGGCTCAGAAAGGCAGAGTACCTTGGCCAGGTAAGTTAGTGGGTAGTGGGGCTGGGACTTGAGCCTGGGTTTGTCTGATTGACTTAAACATTCTTCTGCACTACCCTGTCGCCATTTTTCTAGTGGGCCCACAAAGAGCATTTAATAACAATTATTTTATGAGTTGTTCCTTTTCTATCAGGCCATATGGACTATAGACTAAGCACTGTGAAAAGACAGGGAAAAGAATGGGTGTGGGAGGAGGGTAGAGGAGAGAGAAGAGCGATTGAGTTTCCAGGGCCTTGTGGTGGCCGCAGTGGTCTGCCAATAATGAAGTGCGTTTCCATTCTGTAGACACGGCGTGCCCTTGTCTGGGCACGGTGAATGCCCTTCAGGCTAGCTGGGTCCAGCATTGTGATTGGCCACTGGTGTTCGGCATGACCACTCTGCGTCCTGTCATGGCCTTCTTGAGTGGTGTGGTCGGCTGGTGAGAGCCTTAGGATTCCAAGCCAGGGATGGCTTGTCAGCCACTGTTGCAAGATACCATGGTGCTTCTGACAGGCACCATTTCATCTGGAGAGTCAGTAGGAGGCCACAACAGCCTCCTCACCAACACTGGTGCAGGTATGAGCATGTCCCCCCCAAATTCTTACCTGACAACAGAACTAACTCTTTTGCTCCAGCAAGCCCCAGACTCAGAGCTGAGCAGAACCTAGGATGGAAACTTTGGCATCTGAAATCTGCAACAGCAGTCTATGAGAATTTTCAAGTATCCCATTCCTCTCTTCCCTCATCTCTTGGGAGATGGGAAGGCTCTTGGCACCTGCACTGGGAGCTCTCTGGGGTTTGCTGGGCTGCTGAATGGACCTGTGCTGTGTTTGTGGGATGTGGTGGGCTGTGTGGTGCGAGTTGAGCTCACATCACAGCAGACCCCACCAACAAAGGAAGGTTCTGTCTGGCTGAGCATAGCCGACATGTAGAAATAGTCATTCTGTTTCTGCAGAGACTCTAGGGCAAATGCATTCTTCAGGCCAAGGAACTGTCACCAACAAAGGAAGGTTCTGTCTGGCTGAGCATAGCCGACATGTAGAAACAGTCATTCTGTTTCTGCAGAGACTCTAGGGCAAATGCATTCTTCAGGCCAAGGAACTGTCACCACGATGAAAGTGGCTTTTTGTGGGCTGTTTCTGTTAGAATCGGGTGGGGTGGGTGTCTGGTCAGCACAGCACTGAGCACACCCTGTTCACATCTTCTTTCCGGAGTCGTTCTGCAGCTCCCCTGTCCTGTCATCTCAGCGGTCTGACCCCTACACACGCTGTGTGCGTGCTCTGCCTCCCCTCCCTGCCTCTCGTGTCCACGGCAGCTCGAGCATAGACTGAACAAACAGACAAAGCCCCCATACCTAGAGTTTGGAAGAAAATAGAGAACACTGGGTTCAAAGAGCTTTATCTTTTCTTTGTAAATTACCTTCTAGTTCAGAATTGAGTCGATAGAGGGCAACATTGGTTCCATCCAACCTTGAATGCTGGAGAGAGGTCCTCCAACAATGGGTTAATTGTAACATGATTATAAATACTTTAAAGGCCAGTGGAATTTGTTCTAATGGGGTTTTGTATGTTCTCCTTTTCTTAGAAAAGAAAAGAAATTGTGCACAGTGCTGAAGTAGCAGGGAAAAACAGAGATTCTCCAAGTACTGTCCTGTGTGGTCCTCAGCTCCTTAGTCCAGAACAGTGATGCTACTGATGATCTCTTGTTTGCATCTATGAGGGTACTTCAAAAAGTTGATGGAAAAATTGAATTGAAAGATAATATGAATCCTTCCGTGAACTTCTTGAAGACCCCTCGTATTTGACCCAATCCTCAGCCGCAGGAGTTTGATGAGCAAAGACAAGTAGGGGTTGGTAGGAGCATGCATTCTGCTTAGTGAGAGTGGATGTGGAGGCGTAGGCTTGCCCGGGGCCTCAGGTGTAGCCTGACTCTAATGCCTGGCCCTCTTGCTTACTGGCCTTCTGTCAGCCGGGTCTAGGCTCTGAGCTGAGTTTCCTTTAGGGTGTGGCAGTCTCTCAGAGCCACCTCCCTGGGCCTCTAGCATGCACGGGCACTTGTGGGGTGAGCGGAGGTCCTGTCACAAGAAGCAGAGGAAGTAGACGTTGGCTTTGGTGTCCTTAGCACCATCCTGACACCTGGGCTAATGGGCTCCTGAGTGATTCGCCCACAGGGACTTGAGATAAGGAAGGCCCTTTCAGTTTGGGGGCAGATGCTTAATTTCTAATAAATAGAAACCTTAGGGTTGTGATTAACACCGGCATTCCAATTATCTGGAGTTGTCTGTGTTATGAATATAGAATTTTAGAAGTATAGTCTAAGGGTGGGACCTCTTTCCTTTGGGTCCCTTAAAGCACATCATACTCATGGTAGCATAGAGGCACTCTGCTCCGGCCACCATCTTCAGGCCTCAGGAGTCTTTTCTTTGAGCAAGTTGGCATTTTTGTGAAAGCTGAAGCTTGAACCTCCAAACCTTACGCTGACTTCTGCAAGTTTTTGCTTCCTGCTGTTACTAGGGAAACCAATACGAGAAGTCTGATACGTGTGAACATTCTCTCTCTCAGTATAGTTGGTGCAAACTCTTGAGGGCTGCTAGGTTTAAGGAAAAAAAATTCTGCCATTTAATTTTGCTATTTTTAGCTTCCTAAGGGAAAAATCCTGCTTTCTTTTCTAATCCCAGTTCACACTCCAGCAACCTCAGATCAGTAAAATGTACATTTTTTAAAAATTGGAAAACCCAACAAAGCAAAATAAAAACCACACCAGCATCATAAAACTCGGAGATTCCCCTCCCACCGCCACCACGTATTCAGGGCCTGAAATAGATGGAACTGATTGCCCGGCTTGATTTTTTCACATGGCCCTCAGTCTGAGCTCCTCTCCCTGCAGTTACCATCCTCCCCTTATGCAGAATGGCTGGTCAAGGATATTAATTATGCATTATTCGCCTTTTGGTGATGTTTGCAGGATGAAGGAGGAAAGCAGGAGGGAAATGAGTGCTAAATATATTTTAATCACCTCTGCTGCTTTGAAGGAATTCCCACAGATAATCTTCAGCTCTTCGGCAAAAAGCAGCCTCCATCCCTGTCCCTGTGTGAGATGGAAGCTGGCCTGTGGGTGTGGGGATTTGCATAGGGTGCTCATTGTGTAATTAAATGAAACCCTGATGCTGATGGGCCTGGGCTGTCTGGCTAGGACGGTCACTGGGAAAACAGAGGCATTACATTTTAATCAGGACCCGCTTACTTCCAGGCTGATGGGATTGTCTCCATGGGGCTCGGTTTACAGTGTGGGGCCTTGTTCCTCTCCAGCTCTGGACCAGTCTGTTCTGAAGGAGCTCGGGTGGGGCCTTTGTGAGAAACCTCCCTAACGAGCTGGCCTGGGCTAAGGTTTAAACTGACCCAAATTAAATCTTCAGGAAGGAAATTCTATTCTACACTTCACTACAGAAACTTAGGGCAAGGGTAATGTTTTTTTCCTGAAACTGATCTCAAGAGATCAACTTATAGAAGCAAACTATAATAGGATATTTAGTATTCTACTAAAAAATTTTTTCTGCTCAATATCTCTCTTCATTTCGATGTTACTGGGAGAAAGTGTGTCTGCCTCCTCCTTCCTTAATATATTCTGGAGAAATATGAGTCCATTTCTTTCTATTTGTGGAACAGCGGAGGCCCTCATTTCTGCTCTTATCTCACAATTCCACTTAAAATGCACACGAAGTTGAAATAAATCATCTGTATGAAAAATGAGATGAGCCATTTGGAAAATGTGATTTTAAAATACGCAACCAACACCAACATAGGATCAAGGAATGAGTTAATTTTAATTTTTTTTCTTGCTCACAGATGTCCTCGAAGGTTATAATGGGACGATTTTTGCGTATGGACAGACTTCATCAGGAAAAACCCACACCATGGAGGTGAGATTGCAGTGTGCTGTGGTGTAAGTCTCTGAGGTGACTGAATGGACTGGTGCTTCTAGCAAAACTTGAAGTGTACATGGCATTTTTTACTGGGCAACAGAGATGGTTGTGTTAGATTAATTATGGCGATTAATTATGCCTTTGAGGAATTTTAAAATAGCAGTGAGTAATAAAGTCTCAGGAGTTCAGTATTTAAAAAAATCCTTTGTTGATAGCTCTGTCAAAATAGTAATAATAAATTCTGTTCAGAGGTAATAATCAATAAGCTGAGTAGCGATGTGAATATCTTTATGGACTCTAGCCCCAACCTAACTCAGAGAGCCTGTTGTGAAAATCATTTACCCTGAGGGGGGCTTCTGGGGAGGTGAGTCTTCTCAGAATAAATAAATAAACTGTAGGTCAGAGATTTAAAGGACTTGGCTTTGTGGGCCAAATCAGCCCACAGACATATTTTTGTTTGGCCTGCTCAGTGATTTTTTAAAACATTGCAGGCAATGTTTAAATGGATGATTTTACGCAATTCTAGTTTTCCACCTTAGACTGAACATTCTGAGGATCTAGCAATGATGGACGAATTTCACCATAATATAAAATGCAAGCTTCACTAGAGCAGCAGGCCAAATCAGCCCACAGACATATTTTTGTTTGGCCTGCTCAGTAATTTTTTAAAACATTGCAGGCAATGTTTAAATGGATGATTTTACGCAATTCTAGTTTTCCACCTTAGACTGAACATTCTGAAGATCTAGCAATGATGGACGAATTTCACCATAATATAAAATGCAAGCTTCACTAGAGCAGCAGTCTTCATTGTCTTGTTTACCTTTTTATTAACATTTCTAGTGTGTAGAACAGTGGCTCTCACCTAGGAGAGGCTTGATAAAATATTTGTTAAAGTGGTACCCGCATGGTGGCCCTGGCCACCCTGTGTGTGGGGCCAGGCTCTCCAATGGACCCAAGCCCGCTTCACACATCCTCATTAACTTACATACTCGGCCTCTGAATGCATTTGAGGGTGTGGCTCCAGGCTGTCTTTCAAATGAGGCAGGTCTGCAGACAAAATTCTCCCCCTTTACCTCCTCTCTTCTTGCTTTTTACCACGGATGCCAGTAAGGCCTTCAGGGCCAATTAATTCTTCTAACGGCTAGGCCCACCTGACAGATGAGGAGAAGTGGAGAGAGTGGTTATTATAGGACCTTGCACAGAGGAAGTTTGGAGAATTAAACAACAGGGTAAGATGAATCCTTAATCCTTCAAGCTTTGGTGTTTTCATTGGTGATACCCTCCTGGGAGCACCACTGAGACGACTGCTGCAGAATCGGTTTAGCTTATGAATCATTCCTATTGAAGAGAAGATTTCAAAGGCACGATGCTGATATCCTCAGGGCTCTGAGGTTTTACTCGCCGACTTCAAGTGTGAGGTACAGTGCCGGGAGATCTCGTTACTGTGGTGTTGACTTCCTTTCACCTGTTTTTGCTGAAGACAAAGTGGTTCAGAGACTGCACAGATTAAAAGAAGCGTGAGGTTTACCTGCCACCACTTTTCGACCAAGGAGGCTGTTCTCTGACACATGAGCTACATTGGCACATCTTCTCTGCTGCTCATACCCTCTGAATCAGTGGCCCTCCGCATCTGAACATTCTATCTGTGGTTGGTTGAATGCGTGGACATGGAACCCATGGGTACAGGGCTGACTTAAGAGATTTGACCATCTGTGGATTTTGGTATCTGTAGGGGTCCTGGAACCAATCCAGAGGACAACCGTATGTCTTGGAAATGCTGTCCCTGCTGTCCCTACACTCCTGCTCCAGCCACAGACCCTTGACCATTTAGGCTCTGGGAAAGTTGCAGTTACACATTTCCTGAGTCCCACCCACTCCAGTTGCTGTGGACAAAAACTCCTTCACAGGGCATAAGGCACGTGAGAGGGATATAAGGCATCTTGGAGGGAATCAATCAGTTTTGAGGCTTTTGGAAACTTACCAAACTATATACAATATGAAAACAACAACAACAAAAAAACCCTTAATATTTAAAATCCCCCAAGCTCTTAGGGAATGCTTACAAGAGTGAGTGCTTTGGGATTAATTCATCTTTGGGAAATGTAAGGTACATATTTGCCGAATGTCAGGAATTTATTTTTTTATTTTTATTTTTATTTTTATTTATTTATTTATTTAAAAGATGACCGGTAAGGGGATCTCAACCCTTGGCTTGGTGTTTATTTTTATTTTTATTTTTATTTATTTATTTATTTAAAAGATGACCAGTAAGGGGATCTCAACCCTTGGCTTGGTGTTGTCAGCACCACGCTCAGCCAGTGAGCAAACCGGCCATCTGTATATAGGATCCGAACCCGTGGCCTTGGTGTTATCAGCACCGCACTCTCCTGAGTGAGCCACGGGCTGGCCCAACGAATGTCAGGAATTTAAACTGTAAACCATCAGGAGAAAGTCTGCTCCCCAGAATAAAATCTTATTTTAAGGGGAGAATAGAAGGGTGCAGAGTGATGGCAAAGAGCTATGCCAGCCGTTTGAAACTAATGTGGGAGGCATTTGGTTAAGTTAGAGGCTCTTGAGCCCTCTGTGCCTCATGGTGTAAACTCCACAGTGCTGCCTAGAGAGCATGCATGGGGGCCCAGCGGGAAATGGACTCTGTGCATGTCTCAGCCTCAGTTGCCTAATCCTGTCACCTCTTCATCTTTGTCAGTTTTAAAAGGTTGATTGCAGTGAGTTGCTTTTCTTTACAGTGGCTTTGGAAGACTGCATACTTGTCCCTACCCTCAGAAGGAGTTGGTGTGGATAAGTCCTTTCCCAGTGCCACCCACCCCCTGGCTTAATTGGGTTCTTTCTGCAAGGTAGTTAGAGATGGGAGAAAAGGTAGGGAATATTTTAGAGGAAAGCAGAGGAAGGGAGGAAACCCAAGCTGAAGTCATCAAGACTATAGGAGACCCAGAAATCTGGGATCCTGGGATGCAATTAAACCAAAAGAGCCCGGCAGGGTCTGCATCCTCTGAAAGGATTTTATGTATTCAAAATTACACATTGTGATCATTCAAAGGCCTTGGAAAGGGGTATTAACTCCCTGAGTGGACAGAGCTGTCACATTTTAAAGCTGTTTTTCATTTTAATCTCTCCATTTTTGGTCTGACATCCAGTGGTGATTCCATTACCTTCTGTTGAGGGGAACAAACAGATAAGCCTACATAAAATTGGAAAGATTAGCTGCTCAAGATGGAGCATTTAAGGTGGATTTTTAGTAAAAATATGAATCACTGGGCAGTGTTGGTGCTAAGTATGGGGCCCTAGGCTTGTGCAACCCATAACCACAGGGCTGGCGTTGAGGACGGTATAGGCAGTGCTGGCTGTAGCAGGGAAGAGGGGGACTGTTCCTTTATTCAGTCTGTGATGCTGGGAAGGGCTTCTCTTGGCCCCGTGCCTCACTCTGTGGTCCTCTTCGGCACATTGATATCGATGGATGGAGATACCCCATGTTTTTCCCTTTGCCCAAAGGGACAGCTGGAGGCTATCCGAGTGGTGCAGTCTTCCCAGCCGAGGGATTCTGAACAAGTCCATCTGAGTGCACAGAGCTCGTGTGCCCATGGCTGCCCGGGCTGCCTGCCTCCCATCTTTAGTGTTTCAGGAAACTGCCCTGCTTGGGAGGTCGGGGAGGCAATTGGAGCTGGAACAAAGAGAGTCTTGTTCCATGGCCAGTGGCCTGGGTTTTGTTTCTTCTCTGATACATGCTCCAAGAAGGTCACATTCAGTGGGAAAAGTTTGCAAAGAGAATTACACAGGATGCAATTATAAAAATGTTTCTCCCGTTTGCTTTCTGGGAAAAACAATATGATAGAGTAGTATACATTTTTTCTCACATTCGTCCCTGATCCTCCAGCCAAACTACACTTTCACTGTTCTCTAAACAGCATCGCTCTTTTCAGCTCCTACATTTTTTGCTGCTCCTGCCTCACTTTCCCTGCTGACACCCTCCCTGCCCATCCTCTTCCCTCAAGGAAGCCATCCCATATCACCCCAGCTGGAAGGGACTTGTCTGTTCTCTGAAGTTCCATAGCTCGCAGCTTCTTTACCACGTTTTATTGCCTGAGATGACTGTGCACTGTGTGTGCATGTGCTGTGCGTCTCATCTGCAAGGCAATCAGCACAGCAGCAGTGAAGACCTTTAGGGAACATCTCTCTCTCTCTAACACATGTGCAGACACACCACACACACCACAGCACACACATACCCCATATGCATTGTACATACACATACACAGGCACACCCCACATACATCACATTCACACTCCCCACATACTTCACATACACATACACTCATACATACACACACCTCACACACACACACCACACATACACTCCCATATACATCACACACACAGACCACACACACATACACCACACGTACATACCACAAACACACATATACCCTGTATAACACAGACACACATACCACACATATGCAATACACACATTTACCACATAACACCACACATAGATACACACACCACAGATACCCTCCACCATTCCCCCAGAACCCCCCTCCACACCCACACATGTACATGCACACATATCCTACATGTATCACACACACACACCACGTACCACACATACACACTCTACGCACAGACATACCACACTCACATACATGCACACCCCCCTCCACACAGACACATACCTCCCTCTTCCCACATGTGAGGGTACTTCAATTGTGGAAAAATAGAAATACCACACATACACACTCTACGCACAGACATACCACACTCACACACATGCACACCCCCCTTCACACAGACACATACCTCCCTCTTCCCACATGTGAGGGTACTTCAATTGTGGAAAAATAGAATTAAAAAGATAATATGAATGTTTCCATGAACTTTTTGAACCATCCTCGTATATCACCCATATAGACATATACCACAGACACACACACCATACCCCCCACTCCCCACATGCACATAAACACACACAACTGCAGATTGTTTTGGCAGGCTCAGTTTACTGGGCATAAAGGCCCTCACCACTCTCAGGCCTATGAGCTAGATCGAGCCTCACAACCCCTAAACCTGTGGTAGATTTGGGTGTCACTTCTGTTTCTGTGTGGGTGGGGGGTATTCTTAGGAGAACATTCAGTTTCCTCTCATGTGCTTTTAGGGTGAGGGCCTAAAATTCAGGGTGACAAAGTAGGGGGTGTCCCGGATTCATCCCTAATTCTGTCTTGGTTCTCACCCTGACAAAGGCAAATGAAAGGATATTAGCACTTGTATAAGCCAGGAATGAACTGGAAGGTAAATCTGTTAAAAGGGAAAGAAAGCATCTAGGGAGACAGATTTGAGTCAATTATAAATGATTTTTGGATTATCAATCATTCTTCCGTGGCCGTGGACCACTGAGGGATTATTGTGAATTATTGATGAGCTCTGGAAGGTCTGGGTGGGGGAGGTCTTTTGATTGGCTGAGTCGAGTCATGATATTTGACTGGAGGGAGATCTGTGTTTCTGGCCGTGGACCACTGAGGGATTATTGTGAATTATTGATGAGCTCTGGAAGGTCTGGGTGGGGAGGTCTTTTGATTGGCTGAGTCGAGTCATGATATTTGACTGGAGGGAGATCTGTGTTTTCACTGTAAGTGCCATTTTTGCCCACAATCTCCACAGTCCGGAGCACATGGGGTCCATTGTCTGATTTGTTACATGTTTACAGTGGCCTGTGCAATTTACAAGTTACCAAGATTTGAGACTCTCAGTTTCAGTCATTTGGTGCTGTTTTCGTAAGATATATATTAATGGTTTGGGGTAGAAGTGTATTTTCAGACTCTTCAGGTCAAATAAGCCTCAACAATTGCTTAATGAGAAACTGCTATGAACTGAATGATATAATGCTGTATCGGTCCATTTCTGGTGCTTATAACAGAATACCTGAAACTGGGTCATTTATAAAGAAATGAAATTTATTTCCCACAGTTTTGGAGGCTGGGAAGTCCAAGGTCCAGGGAATGCATCTGGTGAGGACCCTCTTCAATGCAGGGTATCACATGGCGAGAATGGGCAGAACAAGAGTGAGAACTAAACTTCTCACTTGCTCTCCTTATCAAGCCCTCAGATCCACACCCACAGTCCTCATGATCCAATCACCTCTCAAAGGGCCCACCTTTCCAATACCATAATTAGATTTCCCCCCTCTTAACACTGTTACACTGTTACGGTGGGAGGTCAAGTTTCTAATACATGAACTTTTGGGGACACATTTAACTGACAGCAAATGCTAACATTTATTGGGCCCTTCCTGTGTTACTAAACACTTGGTATATCCTATCTAACTTAAACTTTACACATAACCTTATGCAATAAATACTGTATTAAGTGTCATAAGCACTGAAGGGAAATACCTATACACTGTCCATCCCTGTCTTTAGGGAGTATATAGCCAAATAAAACATCAATAAAACACATCAAATGATTTATGATTCTTAATTAATGAGGGCATTCCAGAGGAGTGCCCAACTTCCCAGGTAAGAGAGCTTTGCCAGAGGCCAGATCTATGTGAATTCAGTTTTTCTCTTGCTTTTAATAGAGGGGAAAGTCAGGAATCAGGTATGCAAAGGAGGATTCGTAATGCCAGGTGCTCTGTGGTCTTTATGTAGTGCTAGGGTTCATGTGAGTTCTTGCTTTTACCAACTCAAATGTTGGCTTGCAGGTTGCTTTCAGAGAGGCACTATGTGGTGAAGCCCTCAGGAGAAAAGAAGATGTACTTGAAGAAAATAAAGCTGATCTTTGGGTATTGGGCAGATTTGGAACAAAGACATAAGTCAAAACTGTAAACGTTATTGGGCATCCCTAGAAGAGTTGAGAGCAAACTGGGCAGTGTGCTTTTCTTCCAGTTCCATTTATTCCTAGAGTTTTATAACTTCCTAAAGGTCTGGAAAATTCCCTGGGCATACAATTGCCTGTGATTACTTTAGACTTGCAGACTGTGTGTGTGTGCACTGATAGATTGTTGAACACATATGAGAGAACTGATGTGCTCATTGTACTGTGGGCTTAAAAGAAGGCTTTCTAGAAGTTGTGCATGTGGGGTCCGTGCTGAGGCCATTGCTTTAAATACTTCTGGAAATCTTTAAGAATTCCTGTCAGATTCTATGGTATCTCTGGTTGAAAATTTTCAGAGGTGGCAAATTCTGGACCTTAAAATTGGACTTAGTGGGGCTGGCTGGTTATCTCGGTTGGTTAGAGCATGGTGTTATAACACTAAGGTCAAGGTTTTGGATCCCCATACTGGCCAGTGGCAAAAAAAAAAAAAAAAAAAAAAAAAAATGGACTCAGTAATATAGTTCAAATAGCAGAATTGATCTATCCCTCCACCCCTAAGATAAAATGAATAGAAGTGAATATAAAGGGGGAAAAAAGAATATGAGGATATCTTAAAAATGAATTTAAGTATTAGAAACAACCAAAAATTATTTGGAAAAACTCAAGCTGGGAATTACAGATTTTAAAAAGAAATTGATAAAATGGATTTTCTTGATTGGTCTGTAAATGATACTGAAGGTATTTCCAGAATAAGGTTCTTAGAAATTTTGGAGCAGTGATGACATTCTGTCTGTCAGCTTTCAAGGTGATTTCACTAAAGGAGATTACCTTACTTGGACTCGCAGGTTCTGGTCAGTTTGTAAAATTTCTGAAGCAAAACCCAGATGTAGTTCGTTAGAGTCACCTGTGTATTCTCCTTCCTCCTGCCCCTTCCCTCCTCCTCCTCACCACACACCCCTCACAGGCCAACGATTTGCTGCCCTGTGTGGCAGCTGGAGGGAATGTTGTGGGGCTTGACAGAGCGAGGGCTCCCCTGATGGATAAAAAGACAAGCACGTTGAGTTATTCCTCCACCTTTTGGTTGTGGGCATGTCAGGTAGATCCCAAGGGAGCCGACAGCTCCTGTTGGGTGCTCCCTGCTCCACGGAGCTCTGTTTAAGAAGCCAGAGATGGTCTTTCTCTCTCTCACGTTTCCCTGCACTCTTTAACTGCCAGAGTTTGTATTTTCCACCCTCCAGGGGAAGCTGCATGACCCCCAGCTCATGGGGATCATCCCGAGGATCGCACATGATATATTTGACCACATCTACTCCATGGACGAGAACCTGGAGTTTCACATCAAAGTAAGTGCCGTTGATTATGTCCCGAGAGAAGAAACCGGGCTCAAAATCACGTTTCTTAGCCTTTCTCCTTTTATGTACACGTAAAAGATGATCTATCTATTTTAATAGCATTTCCGTAGTAGACAGAACCCTATTTATTATTTAAAGACTTGGGCTAATACTTAGTTCTCTCGATGGTTTGCTTCAAATATTGAGGTAATGAAAGTATAAAAGCCCTCTTTAGGATGGAAGAATCATCTTGATAGTTGACTGAATTTTACCCTTTACTCTGTGGATTTCTGTAGGTGTGACTGGAATGTGTTTGTGTTTGGATTAGGACAGCTTTTCCCAAAGTCTGTTCCAGGGAACACTGTTGATCTTATTATTAATGGGTGGGCTACTAGGGAAAAGGGTTATGTGGCCATGTAAGCTGGGAAAATGCTTCGTTGAATGATGCTAATTAAATATATCACAAGTTTAAATATGCTATTGTGTAATTTGACTCTGCAAAGGGGACATGAACTATGTTACATTTCCTAGCTTGTTTGACTATAGACACATTTTCCCCCCTTGCAGTATGACACACTAGCCTTTTGAGCATTACATTTTGAGAAGTGTTGGGAAAGGGAATTCTTTTTTTTCCCTCCTTGTAAACTAGAACCTCTGTTCCAGTTTAAATTTGAACTGAAAGAGAGATTTTTAGGCCCTTCCTGTAGCTGTTAAATCATAAAATTTGGTGTTTGGGGTGTGTTCACTGGAACTCTTATGGTGATGACTGAAAGCCACTTGTTTAAGCAGATAGAGGATGTTGTTACAAGATGCAGAATCTGAGAGCAGGCATTGGTGATGGGGAGTGTATGTGGATAGCAGGAAAACCAAGCACTGCTTTTCTTCTTCTTTTTTTTTTCTAATTAAAAAAAATTGGGATATAATTTACATGCCATAAAATTCATCTTTTTTTATTTTTTATTTATTTATTTATTTTTCTTTTGTCCTTTTTGAGACCAGCCGCACCGCGCTTAGCCAGTGAGCGCTGTGAGCGCACCGGTCATCCCTATATAGGATCCGAACCCGCGGTGGGAACCCGCGGCGGGAGCGCTGCTGCGCTCCCAGTGCCACACTCTCCTGAGTGCGCCACGGGCTCGGCCCAAAATTCATCTTTTTTAAAGTATACAGTTCTGTGTTTTTTTAGTATATTCCCCAAACTGTACAATCACAATCCTTAATTCTAGAACATTTTCATTACCCCCAAGGAAATTCCATACCCAGTACAGTCTTTGCTTTTCTCCCCTCTTGCTTTACTTTACTTCCATCTCTTATTCCAGACCATCTTTCTGTCTTTTTTGTGGGGGTGAGGGTGGAAACATGTCAACATGGCAGCTCCTGCTCCATATTCCTTTATTTCTAATTTCAAATTCCTCCGGGAAGGGGCTTATTGGCCCAGCCTACAGTAGGTGTTCCCCCACCCCCACCCCAGTTATCTATGTCCAGGATGCACCTGCTGTCTGGGTACCACCACAGTAACTAGAGAAGGGGTTGACAGGATGGGGAAGAGAAAGGGGGTGTTCCAAGAAGATTCAGAGCTCAGTGGTCAGCCAAGAGTTGAGGAAACTGAAGTTCAAAGATGCAGAGTTAGATGGCCCAAGTAACATACTAAGTTATTGGCAGAGCTAAGAACTCCTAGATCTGACCAACCCCACATTCAGTATCATTTCCATTGTATTAAACTTTTCCCCTTACTTATTTCTGCTTTCCTAAATTACATAAAAAGGAAGGCAAGAACTGTTTGCCCAATTATAAATTACATCCAGCAAATCACTTTTCCTTACAAGTTCCCTTTGTTGGCTAAAGACCGCTTCTCTTTCTTGCCAGGGTTTTTTCTATCTAAGGATGCAGAAGCTTGTTGCTTTGATGGGATCAAGATTTGGAAGCTTAGTGCTTCTTTAAGGCTGTTTGCATTTAAATACCTTAAACTAGTGCAGGGTTCTTAGGTGATAATCCTGAAATAAGATGTTAAACCAATTACAGCCCTCAACATAGGGTCTTGTGTTAGAATCTTATTAAGATAAAAACAGCCCTAGCATGAAGTGGGGGGAGGAGAGGAACAACACCACTTTCCAAGTCTCTAGGGCAGGATTTTGCAGTCATCTTTCTGTTTTGCATTTGTAGTTATGCTTACTTGTTTCGTAGATAATAATTTTAAGTGTGCAAGGTAGCTGCTGTCTACTCTCTATTTTGAACTGAGTAGTGACAGGCTAAATCAAGAAAAAGAGGGCTGATTAAGGCAGTATTGAAAATCTCCTTCCTAAGATGAGTCCCACAGAGGTTTTAAGCATTATCTCTGAACATGCTATTTCTTAATGCCCAAAATGCCTATTTATTTTTCTTCTGCCTGTTCTCACAATGTATTTAAAATGACTAAATAAAATCATCCCCCCTCCAAAGCAGAAATTAATAAATCAGAATTCTCTTTCTACTTATATTAAATGTGAAAAGAATTCTAATTACCAGATTTGACAATATCTAAGTAATGATTCCTTTTTAGATGTAAAAGGAATTGGAACCAGGGCCGAGTTGGCTGCAGGGAGGGCTGGGTTAGAGATGTCTAGGGTTGGAGGCCACACAGACCCATGAGTATTCAGGTCACAGGGAGCGTGGTAGCATGAGAGACTATACAAGACAGCTGTAGGCAGTGCATCTTTCAAATGTCATGGAGGTGTGTCAACAAGAGATGGGGCTCAGTGACGGGGGACTTTGACATATGTTCAAGTAGGGATATGTTGTTAGGGGTACAGGCACCCAGGACATGAGGCCCAGCTACAGGTTCTGGGGTTCAAAGCCAGGATCCTAAATCTTAGAGTAACTGGGAGGTCAGGTGGTTCCAGACTGAAGCACACAAAAGATAATGAACCAGGGCTGAGTTGGGGTGGGGACTAGTGCCAGCTTAGGGAGACCTCACTTCTTCTTGTTAGGGGTAGGACTGGTCCAGAGCTGGGGCTTGGGCGTGAGGTTTCACCTGTGTAGTCACTTCCCAGCTTTATAGCCTTTCAACTATTTTCCTTTTGATCCATCCCCTTGTTTAGATTTCCAAAACACTTATGAACATGGGAGAGAGAAAAGTTTATCTGGGAGGCAGAAGGCAGTGATAAACAGAGTGCAGAATCCTAGTGGGAATTGTTGACATCGTGAAGTCTAATGGCTTCATGTGACAGGTGCGAAAATTGAGGCCTAGAGTCTTGGTTATATGTAAATTAAATCCCCGAGACCACATATTTAGTTAAAGCAGTTCTCATTCATCAGCTGGCATAAGAATTACCTGGGGAATTTAGACGTGGATCCCTAGGTCCTGTTGTCCGAGATTCTGATCTAGCAGGACTGCAATAGGGTGCAGGGTGCTGTGATTTAATCAAGTGCTGTAGGCGATGCTGATCCTGTGGTGCTTGGCTTGAGGTGTGAGGATAACTAATTGGAAAGCTTCCTTTCCCTCTCACATTCTAGTTGTCTTTTATTAGATCACATTTTGTTCAAATCCTTCTTGGATTTCCTCAATCTGGCTGCCATCGCCAGCTCCCTTCCAGTTACCTTTCTGAGCTCTTGTAGTTCCAGGCACTCTGGCCTGTCCTGTTTTCTTCATGTGAATATTTGGACTACACTCTTTCTCCGATCACTATCATGCAATAAGGTGAGGCCTCCTGATGTCTGAAAGTTACCTGCAGAGGATGTTTTCTCTTCTGGCTGTTGTCATACGTAGACGTTTGCTTGGTGCTCATCTAAGGTAAAACCTAGAGTCCTCCTGAAAGTGGCTGTCTAGCACGGGATGTTAATGACACCTGAATGGAGATCATAGGGGCTGTGCTGGTGGGGTGGACAGCAGTCCACTCTTAGCAGGTTCGCATGGAGCGAGCTGATGAAGCAGAAAGCAGAACATAGTAGAGCTGGCTGGAGCTCTGGATTCTGAACCTCCACTCTGCACCCCTTCTTCTTACTCTTCTTAGCCATGCATGACAAAAGCTTTTGTAAGTTCTAATAATGATGTTTTGGAAATGCAGTGTATCATTTCTATTCCAAACTCAATTTGTTTCTTAACCAGGTTTCCTATTTTGAGATCTACTTGGACAAAATAAGGGACTTACTTGATGGTGAGTAACCTGAATGCTTGTCCTTTTTTTGTTCTGTAACTAAAGTCCAGAGAGGTTGATTAAGGAAAGTTTGTAGAGATGTTCTATTGCATTCAGTCTGTATGCTCATTCTCAGCCAAGGCTTAAACTTGCATATTGCAAAGAGATTAGATTTGCTATCTTCTGTAATAATTACTATTTTTCCTCTAATACCACAGGCCTTAACTTTTCTTTTCTTCTTTGCATGTTGTCATTATCATCTCTATAGTATCCAAGACCAATTTGGCTGTTCATGAGGATAAAAACAGAGTCCCGTATGTAAAGGTATGAGGAAGACTTGATTGGTGATGCAATTGATTTCTCTCCAATCACTGTCATAATAATTACTGCATAAGATGCCCAGAATATTATCTATAAAGGACATATGGGTGCCCTTATATCATGCTCCTTATATTTAATCATGGTCCTTATATTTAATATTCATCTAGTTAAACAAACATTAAGCTTCTTCAGTTGTATCTTTCTTTTATGTAAATTATTATTTAAATATTATTATTTAATACTATTCACATTTAAAGAGGCTTTGGTATTGAGTGCAATAGTTTATACTTGGCAGTTAGGGGAAGCCTATCATAGCATTATGTCTAGAACTTCAAAGTATCTAAAGTTGGTGGGTTAAATGGTAAATAAGTAAAGATGGAAGACAGACAAAACCTCATTTCTTCTGTCATTGATTTTCTTCTTTTATTTTCTGTCTCCTGACAACGTTGCTGTTGAGTATGGCTGTGTACTCAAAAATCTAGGTGAATTCAGCTTTTCTTTTATGTTTACTGCTAGGTTTCCTAGGGTTTGCTCAAACTTCTCTTTAATGTAGAATTCAAGCCGTAGGCAAGGAGGAAAGTTGATGCATTGACATTGCAGCCTTTCTATTTATCTGCACCTCTAGAAGAGGAGTGGGAAAATGTTTAGCTCTTTCAAAATATTGTTGCTTTTCAACTCATTTGATGGTGCAGCTGACCCACTCTCTTCCAGGGGTGCACCGAGCGGTTTGTGTCGAGCCCCGAGGAGGTCATGGACGTGATAGACGAAGGCAAAGCAAACCGACACGTGGCTGTAACAAGTAAGCACAATGGGGTGTTTTCTCCCTTGTGACTTAGGACGCAGACTGTCTGCCCAGCAGGAGGGGTGGGTAACGAGGAAGGGATGCAGTAGTGAACAGGAAGGCGGTCAGAGAGCAGTGGCTGGGACACAAGCACCAGGGCGTGTGCAGTGTGAAAGCATCTAAGCAGGTCGTGGGAAAGGGTACAGCCGAAGACATGTCCACAGTACTCTGAGGTCTTGGAAATGCTTGGCGAACTTCACTGACCCTGATAATAGCCTAAGCCTGAACATTAGGTAAACAAGCAATCAGCCAACCAAAGGGAGAGTAAAAGCAAGCTTCTAAATTTATTTAACTGTGTTATTGTTCTGGTTAAAAAAATCCAAACCAACACATTCTACATGATGGTCATACACATGAAAAGAAACCATGTTAGGTTTCTGCCCTCTGTAAAAAAAGGAAAGAAAGGCAAGGAAGAAGTCAGGAAGTGGAGCTGGGAGCTTCATGGTAAACCCTTCGATGCTGCATTAGTAGCAGAGGCATACAGATCTTATTGGATTTGCATGTGCGTCGCATCTCAGGGAAGCAGCGCAAATGGGCTTAGAGCAGCAGTTTCCAGGAAAAGTTCAGGGTCATCTATCCTATTCAGAGGGATGTAGACAAGTGAGAGTGAGTTCATAGGAAGAAGAGCTGAGGGAACTAAGAATTTCTAGCTTGGAAGAGAGAAAAAAATCTGGAGAGGACGTGTGGACAGTGTAATACATCTTAACATGGTCAAGGTGCTGACACATAGAAAGAAGGTCAGCCTGCTCTGTTTGATCTGAATGGATAGACCACCTGGGATGGTCAAAGCCCTAGGGAAGCAGATTTTGATCTACCACCAGGAGAACTCTCTAATCCTTACAGCTGCTGCCCTAAGTGAAGCTACTGTCATGCTGTGAAAGAGATTCAAGCACTGGTTGGTTGACTGGTCTAGGCTTGTTATGTGTCTTCCAGCCAAGGTTCTATGATTCTGTGATCCAGAGCTCTAATTCTCTTTAGCCCAACAATGTATCAGATGATACTTGTTTATGTGGCTAATTTCACAGGTGAGCCTAGACCTGTATACAGTGTAAGTCAAAGTCCACTTTTTTCTCTCTTGCTTGAAACACACATACGTAAGTGAGAGAATGTAAGACTGCTATCCTTATAGTAGTAGCATCTCTCATTTATAAAGAAGTTACTCTGTTTCTTAAGCTATGGTTACTTATGCATTATTCATGGCATACCTGATAACAGAACACTAGTATTATTCTTGTCATTCTGGTAAGGGGATTTTTTTGTTTGTTTGTTTTAAATTATTGTGGTAAAATATACATAACATGAAATTTACATTTTTTTTTTTTTTCATGTCCGGCAACGGATCGCAACCCTCAGTGTCGCGCCCGTACCGGACCATTATTCATGGCATACCTGATAACAGAACACTAGTATTATTCTTGTCATTCTGGTAAGGGTTTTTTTTTGTTTGTTTGTTTTAAATTATTGTGGTAAAATATACATAACATGAAATTTACATTTTTTTTTTCCTTTTTTTTTTTTTCATGTCCGGCAACGGATCGCAACCCTCAGTGTCGCGCCCGTACCGGACCGGGACTGGCAATGGGATCGCAACCCTCGGTGTTGCGCCTGCACCTCGCTCAGCCAGTGAGCGGGAACCGGTCTGTATGTGGGATCCGAACCCTCGGCGGGAGCGCCGCCGCGCTCCCAAGCGGCGCACTGTAGCAGTGCGCCACCCGGCCGGCCCTGAAATTTACATTTTAACCATTTTCACATGTACAGTTTTGTGACATTAAGTACATTCACTGTGTGTACAACAGCACACTGAGTGTGTCTTCCCCAGCTGGGGCAGCTCTGTACGCAGTACGTGCTAACTGTCCCCTCTTCCCCAGTCACCATCCTGGTTTTTGTTGCTATGAATTTGTCAACTCTAGGTACCTCATATAAGTGGAATCTATAGTATTTGTCCTTTGGTGACTTGCTTATTTCACTTAGCATAATGTCTTTAAGGTTCATAAGTGTAGCATTTATTTGTCTTTTTAAGGCTGAGTAATAATATTCCCTGTATAAATGTAAATATTTATATACCACATTTTGTTTATTCACTTATCCTTCCACAGACATGTGAGGTACTTCCAACTTTTGGCTATTGTGAACAATGCTGCTATGGACATGGAACCAAACATCTGTTCAAATCCCCGATTTCAGTTCTTTTGGGTATATCCACGGAAGTGGGATTGCTGCATCATATGGCAATTCTACTTTTCATTTTTTGAGGAGCTGCAATTCTGTTTTCCATAGCAGCTGTACCGTTTTACATTCCCACGAAGAGGGGTCTCTGATTGTTTGGTGGACAAAGACCAGGGTTTGAAAGGATTTTTGTTTTTAGTACCCCATCCTAATGAAGCATATTTAATCTCTGAGGCTTTCTATGCACTAAGCATGGGTAATGGAAGAAGTGTATGTCTTAATCCTACCTTAAGAAAGTCTTAATCCTTCCTTAAGAAAACCTATGATATTACTGATAAGGCAGGGCTTACATACATGCCTATGATAGAATACGTCAGGTACTGATCATGATGATAAAGTCTGAGGGATTAGAAGTCAGGCAGGGGAGGAAGCTGTGAGCTCTTCACAAAGACAGTCAGGCCGGAGTTGGGTGTTGGAGGAGGGGGCTTCAGGCAGAGCTAGAGAATCTGTTATCTGTGAATTTCTTTGCTACCTGAAGGCATTTTAAACGTTTCATTTCTAGAATGAACATTGTTTTTAAGAAGAAACAGTGATGTCAGGTTATTTCTAAACTTGACCAGAAGAAATGGAGTTATTAAGCATGGTTTGTTTGCTTTTCAGATGAGAGGTTTGCTATCTAAATTTACATGTTCTTTGTAGACCAGTAAACTATTTTCCTTTTCAGACATGAATGAACACAGCTCTAGAAGTCACAGTATCTTCTTGATTAATATTAAACAAGAAAATGTAGAGACTGAAAAAAAACTCAGTGGGAAGCTTTATTTGGTTGATTTGGCTGGGAGTGAAAAGGTAATCGATTATTTGTATTATCGATAATTATTTCCCCATTTCTTGCTTCAGTGTGCAGTGGTATAATTTTTATACCTTTCTATTTCCTGATTTTAAAGAGCTTTTAAAGTTTCTTATGTTGTGCCAAGGTGTTGTTAAATTTAACCTTTGTTTCCCTGCTTTCTTTTCTGGCCCTGAAGTCCCCTATTTGTGTCACAGGCAGGTGCTTTGAATGCTAACAGCCTTGATGACGACAGTAGGCAAGTGTTGGTCCAAACTCAGTCTGGCAAAGGCAGCTGCCCAGACATGGGAGGGACATGAACTTCTGAGAAAGGGAAAAATCCCCCTGTTGTGCCAGACTCAAATAGGAAAGTCCCCTATTTGTGTCACAGGAAGGTGCTTTGAATGCTAACAGCCTTGATGACGACAGTAGGCAAGTGTTGGTCCAAACTCAGTCTGGCAAAGGCAGCTGCCCAGACGTGGGAGGGACATGAACTTCTGAGAAAGGGAAAAATCCCCCTGTTGTGCCAGACTCAAATAGGACAGTAAAGGACTTTGCCTTTGGAATGTGGCAGTCCTGCCTCTGACGTCTGGAATGGGACTCTTTCTGCATTCCCTGGTTCTCCCAGCAGTAGGCATGGGCTGATGGTGTCTCATGAGGTGGCCTTGGTTACTTCAGGCTAGAAGGCCTGTAGTCAGTCTTTTAGCCACAAGCCTTGACCATTCTCTGGTTTTGTCAGGGCTGTCTTGTGGCATCTGTGTCCTGTCCCATGCCCCGCCCAGGCACTGGCTGGGACCATACTGCAGACTGAATAGGCTTCCTAGAGTCTCCAACTTGCTGCCACCGACCTCACGTCCATAACACCAACTTACATAGCTGCTGCTGCACCTGGGCCAGGGGCACTGACCCCTGGGGGCAGCATCACAGAGCAAGTCCATGTGCACAATGCCCTTTGGCCTCTGTCATCACTGACATCATGCTAATTGTCCTCATTGGAGCTGGCCTTGCAGCTCGGTCAGTCTCCCTAACTGTATAATTGGTCCCCCCTCACTGCACCACACCACTGAGCTCCTGTGTGCCAAGTTATGGCCACTAGTATCCATGTAAGTAATGGTTACTTGGATTGTCCTCTCATATGCATTTGTAAAACTGCGAGCAGAAAATCATCTGGATATTTCTAGTTGGGAATCTAACATTATACTGGTATGGGCTTGTAACTTCAGTTGAATAGACACTCACCAGAATGGAAATAATGAAGCAGTGTTGTTTAGTTCTAGACTGACCATTAACAACCGAGATCGGCTTTATCGCCGTACCACGTATGGGTCCATACAAAGAGCCTGAATGGCCCCTTCACTCTTTTGAGCACAGAGATAAGTATTTAGAGCCTAAATACACCTGAAAATGCCGAATGCTAGCAGATCAGAGTGGAGGCCTGTCTCTGCATGATGTTGGTGGTTATTGCTAATTAAAGTTGTGTCCACATAGTTTCTTTTGCTCACATCTGTTTTCCTTTGCCCTAGATGTGGCCACATGAATGTGTCACTGTGACCTTGTAGACCAGAACTCTGGACTTTACTTCCTGTCTCCCCTGAATGGTGTTCTTCCCTTAGGCTGGCAATTAGATATCTCTGGAGCTCAGTTTCCTTGTTTGTAAAAGGAAGGTGATAGATAGTACCTGCCTTGTAGATTTCATGTACTTAAAATGCTTATAGGAAAACATCTTAAAAAATCACCATGTGAATAGATTGTTGGTATTTGTGACCCATCAGCTACATGGTTTCTCTATCTGTAAGTAGGGGTACCTGCACACACAATTCCAAGAGATGAGAATCTATCCTATTTGAAAACACTTCCCCTGGATGTGCATTCATCTCTATCATTAGGAGTTTCTCCTTTATATGTAACTGAAATCCATCTTTGCCCTGTTTAAAATGATTCCCCCCTTTCCCTTCTTCAGAGCAGCTGTCACCCCGCATCATTTGTCCAGTCAGCAAAGACATGAATCATGTTGGGTTCCCTTCTTTGTAGCGTCTGTAAACTGTTCTCTACCTAGAGCAAACGCTGTAAATACAAAATGCTCAGTCATAACGCAGCAGAGGAGGAACTGTGCACAGTCCTCTGGCTGCAGAGGAAAAAAGACACATTTACAATGTAATATACACTTTCTTGATTTTTCATGCCTTTCCACATTTTTTGCCTTTTGGATTTTGTTCCTTTTTTTTGTTACTATGAGCATTAAGTAGGGAAGGACAGAGTCTGTACAACCTGACCTGAATTTGGAGCTTCTAATTTACAGTTTCCCAGAATGCCCAATCATTGTGCCTCAGGATAGCGTTTTCCCTTAAGGCTTCCTTCTGGGCTTCCTCCGGTGTGGAGACTGTGGTTCAGTCTCCCAGGGCCAGAGCCTACCTGCGGTGACAGCACTTCTGGAGCCTGGTTTTCCTGGATGGATGCCCCCCCGGGGAGGCATCTGCTGCTTCACCACTTGAGGCGTTTCAGCCATCTCAATAAAACCTAATGGGGAGGAAAATGACGGCAGGAGAGACCAAATCCCCAGCCTCATGCACGAGGGACGCTTTTATCCACATGGTTCTTACTTACTTTCATTTTTCTTGCTTTCCAGGAGGATCTCCCCTTTTGCGCTTGTGTGAATTTGAGTTTTCCATTTTGTGCTTTTACTGTCCTGTGCAGCTCACTGCTTTTTCTTCTCTGGTAGGTCAGCAAAACGGGGGCCGAGGGAGCTGTTCTTGATGAAGCTAAAAATATCAATAAGTCTTTGTCTGCTCTTGGTACTGTCCTGTGCAGCTCACTGCTTTTTCTTCTCTGGTAGGTCAGCAAAACAGGGGCCGAGGGAGCTGTTCTTGATGAAGCTAAAAATATCAATAAGTCTTTGTCTGCTCTTGGAAACGTGATCTCTGCCTTGGCAGAAGGGACAGTAAGTGATCCTTAACTCCATCTATTAAGTACTATTATGAGAAGTTACCTTTTGGGTCCGCATAGTCTTTTTGCCAACATACCCCAGAGATTTGTTTTTCTGTTTGGACAGGACAGAGGGAGTCCTGGCTATGGACGCCTGCTTGCTGGGCAATCCAGTCTGTTAAGAAGAGTGAATGGTGATGCTAATTTCCTATGACCCTGGGCACAGAGTGGGCATGCTACAACTTTGGCAAGAACCAAAGAGCTGGCCACAAATTCTTGTTGCACGTGTGTTTCTAAGCTCAGTGTCTCCATCTCTGACTTGCTTGTCTGTTTTTTCTTTGATGGGCTGTTAAAAGCAATATATTTTTCTTTTCCTCAATAGAAAACACACGTGCCATACCGGGACAGCAAGATGACTCGGATTCTCCAGGACTCTCTGGGTGGCAACTGTAGAACTACCATTGTCATTTGCTGTTCTCCATCTGTCTTCAATGAGGCTGAGACCAAGTCCACGCTGATGTTTGGACAGAGGTGCGTGCAGTCTCTCAGGACCTATGCTCTGTGCTGGTTCTTAGGCCTGAGGAGTGAGTGGCAAGGAACTCGTGGCAGAGAGTAATGAAGAGAGGAGGCAAGCAGCCTGCTACTAAATTGTGTGTGGTAGATGATCTGTATACTGTATAAATGAAACATCATTTATTAAGGCCAAAGGAATAATTATGTTTTTAAATAAAGGGCAAAAATATGCCAATCAAAGGTATAATGTTTTTAAAAAAACAAAACACCCAAACTTATTATAGATGTGACTGTTGGTAATGCAATGGAGTGTTACTTTTGTTTTTTATGGAATTGAAGTCTAACTTTTAAGTTCATTTGATTTCAAGTGTGTAAATCTCAAGATTGCTAACTACCTTTAAGTCCAATATTTGGGATCCATAGCAAAGTTGCCGTTAAAACAACCAGAAACTTAGAAGAATGTAGTGTAGTGGCATCAGTAGAACATGGAGGGAGGGAATCTGCTAACCCCCGGTAGGAGGTACGGAATGTGTTGAGGGAAGGGAGGTGGATGGCAACCAACTTCTCACCTTCGAAGGGCCTGCAGGAGACTTCCTAGGTCTCTGGGGGGTGTTAATGGGTGGGCAGCAGGGACAACTCAGTAATCCTAAGTCAACATTTGTATGCATGGGTTGGTTC